TTGTGTAAATTTTAGAATGGCTCAAATTTTAATATTTTGTCGTGTCTACCCAATACCCTTGATCAATTATTTACCGTAACTTGAATGCCCTGCTTGGAATTACGTCAATTTTATGTTTATTTGCTAAATATCTTCTTAATTAATAAAATACGTAAATAATTGCTCCATTTAAATGGTTTAATGGATTTAAATATTAATTTAATGCTCAAATTTTAATTTTTTTTGTCAATTTTTTGACTACGTAATATCATACGTAACGCAATAATGATACAACGAAAAACGTATTCTAAATATCAAAAAAATGTTTATATTTTTAATAATAGCATAATTTAAAAATAATTTGATTTTTTAAGTTAGAACAATTTAGTTTTTAAACTATATAACATGATAAATAAGTTGCTATATTTTATTTTTGAAATACAAATTAAAGGTGCCCTAAATAAAAATAATGATCTGTCACAAATTTAACTGCCATAAATCTACCAAATGTGTAAAATTTACAAGTCTTTTTCAGTAGCTTTCTTTTATATTGAAAGCCTAAATCAAAGAGTATATGGTCTATCTACACGAAATGTCACCACCTCAATCCCTGTATAATCTTTTTTTTTACCGTCTATCTTATTATCTTTATGTTATACTCTATAATAATCTGTCAAAATCAAAAGTTTCAAACTTATATCAAAAGAAAAACAAACGTTTTATTTGCGTTTGTTTTTAAGTTTTCATATTATAATAGTAATTGACCAGGAAATTTTACATTCACGTCGGTAAATAATATGAATAAGTTGAAAAACAAGGTACATTACGAATCTCCTTGTGATTCTGACAATGATTGGACCGATTCTACCGGCGACTCAAAATACTCCGATTCGGATAGGTTGGTTAATTTATTTACGATTTATTAATTTCAGTAGTGAAAAAGTATTATTGCCCTTTGGTTTTATTTTAGTTCGGTTCCAGAATGAGATTCTGACGTAGGTGAAGATGGGGAGTTAGTTTTCATAAAAGATGTGAATACTCCACTTTTGGAAAATTTCGAAACTTTTAAGTTAAGAAGTGACTTCAAGAGGGCTTCAACGCGAAGGTCCACTAAAGGTACGAAAACGTAAATGAACTAATTATTAAAGTTAATTTTAAAGTACCTGAGAGAACCACAGTCTCGAAACTGTTTTACTGTCCTTTGGTTACCTGTGTGTACTTTTTGTTATAGCTTATTGTATAACTAATTTTATTGTATACATTTCAGGTAGAATTTTCAAAGCTTTAAAAAACCGCAAGGCAAAATATGACAATGCAAGTAGCAAAATTAATGAATTGGAAAGTTCAGTTACTAAATATTCTTTAGAAGATAATAATAAAATTGTTATCATACAGGTAAGAAAACATTCTTAATAAACCACAACTTTGTTTATTTGATAAAGACAATTTCTAATATGTTTTTTTTGTTAATATAAATTACAGGTTAGCAAGAATATGATATTTAACAGTGAAAAGAACTGCCAAATAGAGAAATTATTTGGTATGAGTTTAGAAACTCATATGGACGGAAAGACATTAATTGTTGCAAATTTCTTAACAGAAGCTAAAGCAATATACATTCCACGAGTCAAAGTAGGTTATTACCTAGTAAAAATAAATGGAATTGAAGTAAACTCTTACAACATCAATAATATGCTACAAGGAGTAATTGAAGACATTGAAAGTATCAACTGTCCTTTACAACAATACTTTAATTAATGTCGCTTACGCATCTCATTTTAGTGATCTACTTTTACTGGCTGGACCTAACAAGAATTTAGACCTTTTTTGTGCTAAAAAATTAATAGGTTATGTTGTAAAAATCTTGGAATTCCTTTATGGGTCATTAAAATCCTGTTTAACAAAACCTAATAATGTAGATAAGCTAGACGGTTTGTTTTCTCGTATTTTCGTTCATTTATTGTTTGATAATTATAAAAATATGTCTAAAGAAGAAAGGAAAGTTAAAATAATGTTGTTTGAAGAGTTTGTAGCTTGTCATGCCGTGACTCCACCTTTGGAAGTGAAAATACAAGTAGATGATGCAATAACAGAGTTAGAAGCGGCTGATTATCGTGAATGGGTTAGTATTGTATAAATTCAAATGCAAATTTAATTAATTGTAGATTGTAATCATCAAATACATGAAGTAGGTTAAGTGCCATCATATTTTGGTCCTCTTTCTCTTCTCACCCTTTTCGGAAGTGTGTTTTGTGTAGAAAAAAGTAGGGTAAATTTGTTGTTCTGTGTAATTTCCTTTAGCAGTTGTCTTCCATTGTACATTTTAAAGCTTCGATATTTTGTTATAATTTTTTTGTCTGTTATGAACTTTTTTCTTTAAATTTTCAGACAGATGATGTTGATGTTGATGTTTAAATTTTCAAAGGTTGTACACTGTAATCGGAGCATGTCTATACTATTCTGGACACTTGTTAAGTTCACATCTACGTGATGAAGACTTAGTAGAAGTTAATGCGTATTTAAAATTTAACAGTATATTAAGGCTTAGCACTGAAAAGGAGTTGGACAAACTTGTTATGTGGAAGGAAGTTTTTATCAAAGAACATAGAGGTCAGAATAAAAACGACAGAAATGAGAATAGGTAAACTTGAACTTTTTTTAATTTTTTTTTATGTTGTGTTGTCCAATTCTTTTTTGTTTTTTTAATGTACAATACCAGATGGGCGTTGGTTTCTTTTGATCGTTGGTAAGGGTCATTTTATATTAGCCACCCTTATGGAAGCAGGTGGATGTACAGAAGATGTAAGTAATTATTGTTAGTTAATTTTTCTGACTCTAATTTTTCCTTTTTTGTTCTTCTATCAGTCAATCTGTATGGATTCATAACAATGTTGCTTGGCATGTTGTTTACAAACATTGCTTATCAAGGAATATTCTTAAACTTTTTTCTCTTCTATCAATATCTTTGTGTATAAATATTAGTGATTTTCTTTAAATGGTTTGTTTTACAGGCGATAGATGTAACATCCCTATCTCCATTTTACGTGGAGGAATGTGAAAGCTGTTTGGAACTGCTTTACGAAGTGGGACTGCATAAATATTTGACTACCTGGTTCTCATCAAACACATTACCACAGGTTGAAACAACTCCTGAATACTTGACAAAGTATGGCAGGAAAATGAGGGATTGTAAGTTTATTATTATCTTTTACCCGCGTCACCGTCCGTTTATTATTAGTTCAATGAAAGTAAGGAAAGGATTGTTATTCTTTTTTTTATGTCAAAAGGTGGCAAACGAGCGAGCGGTCACCTGAAATCGCTGAAATAGCGAAGTGACCGTTGCCCATAGACATACGCAATTGCATATGCGTTGCCTACCTTTAATCGACGGAGGAGAGGATGCACAGAAAAAAAATATCTTCCCTTTCCATGCATCCTCTCATCCGGAAAGTCCACTTCCACTTCCCATTCTTTCCTTATAAAGAAAAGGATGGGAAGGGAAAGAGGACTAAATTAGGCCTCCGGGACGCACACTCATCAGATGAAACGCGGAATCGCTTCCACTTGACGCCTGTCTTCTGTGTGGTCGTGGTATTTCGCCGGGCGAGCCGGGCCGAATCATGCGAAGATGTTAAAGCGGGCTCTACCACTGTTCAGTTTCTCAGCCATCTCAGTATAAAATAGAAGGCTATACTTTTTTATTTTCTTTTAGCTCTAAAATCGGACAACTTTAGGAGCACTACACTGAAATTATCTAAATCTCAGCCGGATTTAAAGCGACGACATAACTCGTCTGATCAAATTAACTCAGTAATTAGTTCAAGTGATAATCCTATTAACAACTATCATAGTATGAGTCATCATAGCCTTTACAATCAATGGTATAACGGCTCACAGAAGAATTACAGACATTCAAGTAATTTAGACATCAGTTATTCGGAAGATTCTAATAGCTTGAAGAGCAACAGGTATGTTTAATGAGTATTTTATAGTTATGTTCTTCGAGACTACGTTGTACATCCGTTCCGGAGATATTTTC